TTGAAATTCACCTGCCCTTTCAACCCACTTCCTCCTTTAAAAGAGGCCTTTCTTAACCTAATGCTTTCTCCTGACCTATCTACAGCTATCTGTGAAGGCCGAAAGGTTTGGATGCCCTGTGTATACATATGTGTGTATGTACATATAATTTTTAAACAGTTTATGATGAATTCAGGTCTCAAGTGTCCAACAAAATTAATTCAAAACATGCATATATAGTAATTATTATAATAAAATGAAATCTAAATAACTATTTTATTTTTTCTTACTAATTTACATGGAAGAAATCATTCCAATCTCAGTTAATATGAGATCAAATAATTCTCATCACTTTTGACATTGTTCTAAAAATAATATGCTCACTGATAAACTAATAAGGAAGTGAGTAGGGCCAGTTATACATTTTCAAAACTCTTACATTTTGCTAAGAACATTAAAATGTTATAAACACATGGTATGTTAAAAGTTGCTACTTTTAATTTTTCTGGTTATACTTTTTACAGATTTATATCAATAACAATTTTATGCTAATATTCATATAAAAACACACTTAATAGAAATCTGTTGGACATGGTAAATGCAATTATTTCCTTTTCAATCTGAGGACAAACAATGTTATTCAATCTTTAGCTTAATCAGAAGCTACACAGAGAGCTAGATACTGGACATACAAGGCTGAATAAGACAAGATGACCCTTGAGAAGCCTGGAGTGTAACTCCAGGATGGATGCTGCTACAGAGAGTTTGTGTCTCCCCCAAATTTATGTTAAATCCTCATGCCCATGTGATGATATTTGGAAGTAGAGTCCCCTGGAGCTGATTAGGTCATGAGGGGAGAGCCCACATGAATGGGATTAGTGTCCCTATAAAGAGACCCCACAGAGACACTCGGCCTTCCTACCAGGCGAGGACACAGTGAGAAGAAGGCCTTCCGAGAAGCAAACCCTCCCCACGCCACAGATCTGCTGCTGCCCTGCTCCGGGACTTCCCAGCCTCCAGAATTGTGAGGACCACATTTCTGTTTTTTTACAAGCTACTCAGTCTAGGATGCTCCACCGGCCCCAGCGAACGAAGACAGAAATGTAAACCAATTATTGTAAAAGATGTGGACATAGTCTATCACAGAGGCACGCGCACAGTACAGAAGTGAAGACAGAAACAGGGCATTTTGAAAGCAGGATGAAGGAAGTCTACACAGGTGGCAGAGCCTGTAAGATGAGTTTGGAAGGACAAGTCAGAGATGGATGGAGAGGGCCTGTGGGCAGGAGGAGGCCACTCACTGGGCAGGGAGAGAGCCACAGCCTGAAGACAAGGGAAGGTCGCCCGCAGCCCCTGGCATGGCCGCCTGATCTGCCTCTGCCTCGCTGCATCCTTGCGCAGACACTCACGATCACGGCCTCACTGAACCTGCCCATTCTTGAGGTCCCACGGATGAAGACTTCCTCCATCTCTGTCTCCAGACAAGCGTGGACGTCAGTTCCAAACACCCCTTGTCTCCTCCAAACCGCACGGAGACCTGTACTCTTCTTACGTTTCAGAGCTACCGTTCTCTGAGCCATTAGACTGGCATCAGACCAAATCAGACTCCTTTAGAAGGAGACTTCTAAATCCACACACAACTTTTTTAAAAATATTTTTTAATTTATTTTTAGAGAGGGAAGGGAGGGAGAAAGAGAGAGAGAGAGAAACATCAATGTGCGGTTGCTGGGGGTTATGGCCTGCAATCCAGGCATGTACCCTGACTGGGAATTGAACCTGTGACACTGGTTTGCAGCCCGTGCTGAATCCTTGAGCTACGCCAGCCAGGGCTTCACACACAACTTTTAAAATAAATATCGCAAATAAATCATGATGTGAGAATTCACAGGGAAACATGTGAACCCATCTGTGTAGCATGGCAGGCACCCCCATGCCAGGACTCTGCTCTTTCTTCTCATTACATCCTAAATCCTGATGTGAGATTCCAAGATGTGAATGCTGACCGAGGGGAAGGACTGCTGACACAGAAGTAGCAAAGCCCTGGCTGCAGGGCAATGTAAGCACCAGGTCATCTCCCCCTCCCCACACCCTCCCCACCACCCCTCCACCCCTGTGCACGGTGTGTGGGCTCCTGCCTAGGAAAGCATCTGCAAACCTTTCCCATCAGAAGCCCCCTCCATTACCATGTCTGCCTGTTTCAGGAAACTCTACCAAGGCTAAAGCTATTGCAGAAATAAGCAACAAGAAGAATCAAAAGGCGTGTGCAAAACTGTGTTCAAAACCATTATAATCTGAAGTAGAAACCAGGCAGATTAAATTTGCATGTGAAACACACCCAGGGGCTGACCCGCATCCCTGAGACATGGGTTGTTTCAGAGGGTTTATAAGTAACCTGGCAGGGAAGGAGACTTGGCACTCTGCCCCAGGGACACGCAGTGCGGGCACTTGCTCCTGGCTCAGATTATGGCCGCAAGTTATCAGTACTTCCCACCTTGGGAACAATTGTGACTCATTTGAAAAACACCGCCTGTTACAACCACTGAATCCAGGAAATACAGCCCAAAGGACAATACCTACGTTTATTCATCACAAGAAGGAGTACGAAATCTGATTCAGACCACACGATTCCGAAAGGGAGGCCAGCCCTTCCTCTCCATCACTTTATGACACATTCCACATTCCCTATTTTTGCTTTCTCTCTAGAAAAAAAAGTCACTTTAAAGGTGGTAACAGGTCTAATTTTAGAACAAGTTAAACACTGAGCTGATAATATTCTTTGATAGTCCAAAAAAACCAGCCAATAGATTTTATGTTATTTTCATTTCTTAAATTAGGATGCCACATTTCAGTTATGTTTGCACTTTGTAATTTGATTTAAATTATTTGCTTGTCTTTTTTAAAATTCTGGATCTAACAAAACAGCTCAAAATTAGCACATCTATAAAAGCACCCTAAGTATAATGTACAGCAAGGACATTTTCACAGTCAGAGAATCTCTCTCTCATTTATGTTATTTTAGAAGGACATTCGATAACTTGTGACCATATCTTCACAACTCCCAGTGAGGGCGATGGCCACCAGGCCTTGACAGATGCTGCGGGGAGCCACCCTCACAAAAGCAGTATGGAATATATTTTAATTTTTTCTATTTTATTTCTCAGAAACTGAGACTTCAAAAGTTTCTACCATGAATTGATAAAGGATTTTGAACCTAGGGCTAGATTCTAATTCCAAAATCTGTAGTAGTCACCATAATTCCAACTCATTCAGTGGATACTAATTACCAATCCTGGCTACCCACCGAGCATCCCACAGTGCGCCCAAGCATCCGACCGTATTAACTCATGTATCCACCAAGTCTTACTATTAGACCCATTTTACAGATGAGCCCACTAAGGCATCGTGATGTTAAATAACTTGTCCAACAGGGCAAGGCTGGAGAATGATGCACTGGTTTGCAGCCCCATCCAGTGTGACTCTAGACAACCTCACCTCCATACTTAAGGATTATGTTACAAATCAGCAAGTGAATATGAGTTACCTGTTATTAAGGTTTTTGTTTCACTTATATGCAAACAATATTAATGTAATAAGTCACTAATCATATCTCTGTTTGGAAAACAAATTTTATTGCATTGGCCTATAACTAGTTATATAACAAATTATTTAATTTTAATGGAAAAGTCTTTCTCAATATGACTAAATATATTTGTTAAGACTTCATTTTTAGTCTTTTATTTTAAACATGTAGCTGTATTCCATTAGCTAAATGGAATGGTCATACGAGGTGTTAAGAGATTTCAGTTAACAAAGAAATTCAATAAATTAATATCTGATCGAATTTCTATATTGTTTCTTTAGTATCCTAAAATTAAACTCTTACAAAGTATTTAGTGCATCTTTTCTCTCCTAACTATAAAGATCTGAAAATAAAATCTAATGAGAGAGAAAATATCCTGAAGCTCAGAAGCGGAAACTGAAGTCTTATGGTTGGTGGGGACTGGTAGGCACGATAAATGTGTGTTTATTCATATTTCATGCCAACATAAGTGTCTCAAATGCAAGGAATTAATTAATCATTAATTAAGCTTAAGTATCATTTTATCACTTATCTCTTAGGTGAATCATATGCAAAATATTGAATTGTATTAATGAATTTAAAAATAAAATTATGGTCAAAACTTTTTACCAGCTCTCCTCTTGTAATCTCAGCCAGTTACAGAGAATTCCATCCATTTTTGTGGGGTTCAGAGTTAACTTATAGTTTTTTAATACCATCTCATTTATCTGTAAAGTAATCTAATGAACCAGGTAAACTAGAGATTCTTCTACTCATTTTACAGATGGGAAAACAAAGGCCTAGAAATTTAAGGGGTCGATCACATGTTAAATGTTGGAGCCAAAATGAAAATTAAGGTCTCTGACACTGAGTATAATTTCTTTTTAATGATCCCATAACACCATGTGTCAATCACCCTATGCTATTTTTGTACTTGGAAGCATATCAGGTGCCATGTTGGGTAAAACTACGATAATTGAACTGGTTCAAAAAGTTAAATGAAGTAAAACTTTTAGGCTTACATTGACAGATTTGTGTGAACTAAAAAGCTGGAAGAAACTTTCCAGTGCCTCTTTTATTCAGTTAAAAGGGCGGTAAAGTTGTATACTTCTGAATTCTGCCTGTAGAGACACAGACAGGGTGGGCAAAAGTGGGCTACAGCTGTTCACATGGAAAATAACACAGTAATTAATAAATAGTACTGTAAGAATAAGATCTGTGTTTCATGTACTCACAACTGTAAACATACTTTTGCCTCTCCACATGTGTGCAAGCGTGTGTGTGTGTACATAAAAATAATAGATACATCCTAACCTGTTCTTTTATTTTGTTCAGACTAAATCTGGCCACATTTCATGGCCGCAACACAGACACATGTATTTTGCACATTTTCACTATAAATGCAGACTTTTAAAATCTCGCTCTGTAACCACGTACAAGATGTTGAGTAAAAAGCACCTACTGGGGAAGAGCCTCAGCGGCGAGCATCATGGGGAGAATGGGCACAGCCCCGCCGGTCCGCAGTCCAGTGGTTCTCACAAGCGGAAGCTGCACCATCACTGGCCGGCCCTACACAGACACACGGACATGACAGAATCAGTCACGAAATGCAACTTCAGAGCATTTGCACAGCAGCATCCTCCCAACTTGTGGCACTGGAAGACAAGGCTGTCTGACAAGCAATGCGACGGAAGGGCCTTCCTGACACCCCTTCGTGCTCCACGCAGTGGGCAGCAGAGCACTGGAGACACACCACGGAGCAAGTCCAGACAGCCAGTGAAGACACCATAACTTCAACAGTAAACTGGGTGACATTACTGGAAGGTCATCATTTAGAAAAAGAAACACAGTGAGCAAAAAGGCAAACTGAACATCCTCTGATATGGAACGTTGTTGCGGGCCTGTGTGCTGAATGTGGTCACAACCCTGTGCACGAAATTCCATCTGGCCCCCGAAGGAAAGATGTGGGGCATCGGAGGCCCCCCTCACTTCTTCAAGACACTGGAGGCGCAGAGCCGGGGGCGAGGCCGGCTGTGAGCCTCCACACCCCTGCTCCCACCGCGAGTGCACTTGGGCTCCGCACACCATGACAGCAGACATCATAGTGGTGGGTTCCCTGGGAAACAGAATGGTGTTCTACTCGGCTTCGTACAAAACATGAAGTGGGATCTCATGTTGGAACACGGTACCCGGCACATGTGAACACTAAAGATTTACTGAGTGAATTAACGAATAAAGAGCGGTTATAAAAGGAGGAACTGGCATATATATTTTGGTCTCGTCACACATTTGTTTCGCCCATCCTATCACTTACCTACCAAAGTTATCTTCCTGTTTGCCACACAATCTCATGGGGAAAATGTAAAAAAACCCTGAGGTTCAGGCATGTTCACTCAAGAATTACAAACCAGGGAGTGGTCAGTTTAGTTTAGTTCAATTGGAGAGGTTCCTGAGGAACAGCAAAGGTTAGACAACAAAGCAACTGTCTAGGGAAACAGCAATAAATCCCTCCTCACTCTTCTGGATCTGGTATGAGCTTTCGAACAGAACAGACCACTTCCCTGTGGGCGATCCCATGCTGAATGCCTGCACACACGCAGGAGAAAACCGACATGGCCAAGGCCCTTGGTAGAAGACCATGGCCAGGAGGAACCAGGAGAAGCTGCTCCTGGATGGAGGTCATTAGGGAGGTGGTTCTGCTGTAGAGAAACAGGCAGACAGGGGACCCCAATGATCGGACCCTAATTCCCCAAAGAAGCGGTGTGACCTCTGCCAATGGCGGGGTGAGCACCTGACCCCTGCCACCTGTTTCTGTGTAGTTTGTGAGCTGAGAATGCTTTTACATTTCAAATCATTGAAAGAAATCGAAAGAACCATGTAAATTATTTGCAATCCACATTTCAGACACTATAAATAAAGTTTCATTGGAATACAGCCATAGCCATGCGTCTCCATGTTGTCTCTGGCTGCCTCACTCTGCAAAGACAGAGCCGACAGGCTGTGACAAACGGTGTGACGCTCAAAGTTTAAAGTGTTCATTATCTGACCCTGTATCGAAATAGCGGGCTGATTTCTGGTCTGGTTCGTTCTCAGTTTGGAGGGGATGGTATGAGAGAAAGGAGGTGCTTTTCAGGCAGATTGGAGGCAGGGGGTGGACCCACTCCCCTGCAGAGGATGGAGAGCCCCAGTGTTACCATGAAACAGCCAGTCGGAGCACTGGCGAGTCTCCCCCAGAGGCCCAGATGGCGGCAGGGAGAGGTTCTTACACTGAGCATGCTGAAACCTGCAGACATGAATGGATGGGGCTCCAGAGCAATGGAAAGCTCGGAGGATGAATGGATAGGACCCTGAGGCACCAAAATCCAGAGATAATTGGATAGGAAAAATCCCTCCTCTTCCTGTCCCTGTAAGACCTGCAGACTGGAGAAGGAGGATAGAGACGGTCTTTGAGATGGGAATTAACTGTTCTCCCAGGTTGTGCAGCACATGAATCAGCCTCTTTGCTTTCGCATCACAAGTTTGGCTTTTTGTGGTGACAGGCGGCTGAACCTTGGTTTTTGTTTGGTAACACAAGGGCAACCCAACAGCTGCGTTGATGAGATGGGCTTTTCCCAAGACGGGCACCCGATGGCCGGCTGGGCTCAGCCACACTGGAGGTTGGACTCAATCTGGCACACAGCGCAGGCCAGAGAGGATGGGTAGAGAAAGCCCACCTCTGGGACAAGTGTCCTTTCCCAACGTGACAGGATGGTGTTCTCCCGGAGGACATCTGCGGGGCTGTGACCCTCCCTGCATGCGCCATCTCTAGAATGACAGACAACCGAGGGAACCAGCCCTCCTGCTAAGGGGCAAAGCAGGAAGCTTACCAGAGCACACAAAACATGCCGTCCGCCTCATGTAATGGCAAACAGCGGCCATATTGAAGACGGATAAACGGAGATGCCGCAAAACAACATAAAGCTCACAGGCCATAAAAAAGACTCAGCCAGGTCTCCCACACAGACCACAGCCGGTTTATGGGAGAAGACACTGACGTTTGAAAATAAAATTTGTTTTGTACAACACCTGCTTTGTGCTCTCAGGGAAGTTTGAGACAACACAGAACAAATCCCAAAATGTGTCTTCAGAGAAGTTCATTAAGTCCAAATAAATGAGAAGACACATATTTTGCATTTAACTATTAATTGCACCTAAGTGAAGAGGATTGATCATGACTTGGGTCTGAACCCCAGCCCCACCATATTCTTGCTCTTCACATTCAAATTACCATTCCTATCACCTCTAACTTAGGGTTATTCTGAGAGCTGTACAGACCAAATGTGCACAAAATGTCCAGCACACTGCCCCTCCTACAGGAGGCACACAGTCTGCACCGGCTCCCTGTCTGCTTTCAGCTCCGCCCCTTCCCTTCTGCCCCCTCCTGCCCTGCTTCCAGCTCCTCTAGAAGGACTGGCTCAGCGACGACGGCGCAACGGGTCCCAGGCAGGCAGGTCTCCCTGCTCTCACACTTGACCTTGCATCCTCTGTTTTCTCTGAATAGATTCCATCTGTTACTTTTGGTCCCTTCTTTACTTAACAGGTAAGTTGGTATTCATGTGAAAAAACTTTTAATTCAGAAGTAAATCCTGTAACCATCCCTTATCCCTCAGGCAAAAATATCCTGCTGCAACATTTTATGCACAGATCCATGATAATTGATACTGTATCATTAACCGTCTGCACATGGTCTTCCCAGGAGGCCATGCCTTGATTGACAGGCTATGATATCAGGGTGATCAGGTATGGTCTCACGGGGCAGACAGACCTGTGAACACACACACGCGCACACACACTCTGCTGCCTGCTCACTGGCCTGGCGAGGCCGGGGGGGGGGGTGGTGGCAGCTGCGGGGGTGACTCTTGCTGAGCAGAGAGCACCTCCTTCCTGCCAATTGCCAGCAGTGACTTCAGAAATGCTAGGAACACAACAAGGTCTATTATGTGTTGAAAGAATGAATCCAGAAGAAGAAGAATGATGAAAAGGTAAGTTTGGCGAGGACTTAGTATAGGAACAAAAAGGAACGCAGCACATTGTTGGCGGCACTTATGGCATAAGTATCCTAAAAGTCCACCTGAAAATATGTCCAAGATACTATAAATCTCTTTACTTTATAGATGTGGGTAAATCACTTTTAGGGGTAGTTCCCAATAATAAACTTCCCCATTTCCTGGGCATCTACTAAGTGCCAGCCTCTGGTAGATACAATCTCTCAGGAAGCTATTCTTTTCTTTTTTTTTTTTTTAAGAGGAAGAAATTGAAATCCAAGTACATCAAACCCTAAAGCCTAGGTATTTCCACATAACAAACTAAGCTTGGTCTCCACTTTGTTAAAAGAACACTTATTGCATAAACGGTTAATAAATGGTAGTTGTTATTACAGCTATTATTAATACTGTAACCCAACAAAAGGAAAGCTGTTGAATGCTATGAAATGTTACTTTGTTAAACTTACATTAAGTTTAATTACTATAAGACACATGGAAGATAAGCTAACATAAAGAAATATTATATATAAATGCAGAATACAAACTATTACATAGAGTTTCATTAAAATTTTATGTAGATTAACAAATATTGGAAGGCAATATAATGAAAATAATAAGACTGTGTGATTATAGGTAACTTATTTGAAGTTTATCAATTTATTTGGGAAAGTACAAATTTGCCTGAGTTAAAGTTTATGTTTAAAAGTCAGGTAATGGGTGCAAATTTCTAAAAGTGGTGATAACAAGTGACTTTACAGACCTCCTCCACATTTGAAATCTCTTTTTTTTTCTGAGCAAAACAATAAATTACTGTTGAGTCAGTAAAAACTGTTTGCTGTTTGTCTATTTTTTTATTGAGAATGGAAACATATAGAGGCAAAAATTATTGAGGCCATGTTTTCTTTGAAATGGAGTCACTGAAATCCTCTACTCTACTTAAAATAAAAATAGTTTACCTCAAAACTTCCCAATTAGCATAAGCAATCAGCATGCGATGATGCAATTTCCTGTGCAGAAAGGACTTATATACATATCTCATGTTTCACATAAATACATATTCTTATAGATAGGAGAGAGCCAGAGAGCAAGAGAGTGCTATTTTAGCAGAACCACAAAAAGAATAGGGACAGAAGTTATTACCCCAAAATGGGTAACATTGTTTGATCAAAGCCACAGACCTGACCCGGCCTGGGCTGTGCTGTCTCGGCTCTGGGCGCCCACGCTGTGGGCGGACGGCTCACGGCCCCCGGAGCTTCACTCTGGCACGGAAGGCACGCCTGTCAATCACGACGCAACTGAGCTTCTCAGACTCCCTTCGCATTATAACCGAACAAAGCCACAAAAGTTGAAAGAATTCTGTTTAATCAAAAGCAGCATCTCTTATCAAGAAAGTACAAAAAAGTGAACTTGATTGTGTAGCTCTGCTGCCTAATCTCCAGGAAAGCAGCACCAAGCCCGCTGTGGGCGGTGCTTCCTGCCAGGGGGTCCTGCCCCTGAGGGCGCTGCGGATGGAGCCCTGGTCTGAGTTCATCAATGGTGGGGCCC